GAGGCTAAGACGGGAGGGCAGTTGTGGGTGATCAGGCTGGTGGGGGGCAGGGCCATTGGGGGTAAGCAGACCAGCAGGGGGGCCAGTTGGGGATGAGCAGGCCAGTGGGGAGGGGAGGTAGGGGCAAGCAGGCCAGCGTGGGGGGGCGGGGGAGGAGATGGGAGCAAGCAGACCGGCAGGCAGAGTGGTTAGAGGCAATCAGGCAGGCAGGTGAGTGGTTAGGAGTCAGCAGTCCTGGATTGCGAGAGGGATGTCCGACTGCTGGTTTAGGCCCGATCCCTGTAAACTGGCAGTAGGACATCCTTCGAGGGGTCCCAAATTGGAGAGGGTGCAGGCCAGGCTGAGGAACATACCCTCTTCCTGTGCAGATTTTCGTGCACCGGGCCACTAGTCTATATATATAAAGGCCTAAATAACCATTATGACCAGTCGACCGAATGACCGGTTGCTATAACGACACACTGACCACCAGGGGGTAGACACTTGACCCAGGAGCTGCTCCCTGGTGGTCAGTGTGCTCCCACAGCCAACCTCCTGCGGCCGGCCAACCTCCCGCGGTCCCTCCCCCCAAGCCAGCCTGCCTTGATCAGCCCCAATTGCTGGCCAGGCCGAGGAACCTCCCCTGTGCATGAATCTGTGCACTGGGTCTCTAGTCTATCTCTCTATATAAAAGCCTAAGCAACCATTACGACCAGTCGACCGAATGACCAGTTGCTATGATGACGCACTGACCACCAGGGGGCAGATGCTCGACACAGGAGCCGTCACCTGGTGGTCAGTGCACTCCCACAGCCAACATTCTGTGGTCCCTCCCCCCAGCTGGCCAACTTCCCGTGGTCCCTTCTCCCCTGCCAGCCGGGTCCCCGATAGGCCCTGATCTGGACACACCCGCTCCCGATTTTCTATTTCTGTTCTAACTACTGAACAACAGCACTTTCATTTCTTTCAATAGTCCACATTCGCCCCAGGCCCTAGTATCTCTGATAATCTTATCACTTACATGCCCTACTCTGTAATAGAAAAAGACAACGCTTTTATTGTATTTCATCCTGCAAAGCAAAGCCACGTGATACTATGGTGATGCCTTTGAATGGTGATGTCAAATGTCAGGCTGAGCAAATTAAGAGTTATTAACAAAATATCCACATTATTACATTTTGATATGCTATGTTAAATGCTATGTTTCACTATTTTCAACACCAGAAAACAATCTGTTCAACTTCTTAGTTGAATATAATGATTTAGGAGTTAGGGGGTATTTAAAATATGCAAACGATACATGCTAGGGAAAAAAATGTGCTTTTTAATTGACAAATAATAATTCAAAGAAGTATATTGATTCAAAGTAATGCTGCTGGTTTTAGTACTTCCTATTGATACATTCTATGACAGAAGAAATGTAACTTCTGATTTAAACATAATTGCTTAGGTGAATGGAAGACAGAATACAAGATGATAATACAGTAAAAATAAGGTGGTTAATAGTTATTGTGCCAATACTGGCAGTAAGGTTATACTGATTGTTGAGACTAAGTAGTAGCAAGCAATGTTATATAGAAATCAAATTTTCCAAATATATTCACAATTATTTAGAAACAGCTATAGACCAAAAATCTTGAGTGGAGATCTCATTGTCCGCCTACCTCTTCTGATCCTTCTTGAATGGAATAGTATGTAAAATAGTTCCCAAAATAAGCTCCTTCTGATTTGAAAACAGATCCATCTCCAGGATAAATCTCTACTGAGTTCACATTTTTATGGGTAAGTCTATGGAAAAACACACACACAAGAACAGAAAGAAAAAAAAGCAAAGAAGTATAATTTTTAACCTATCAGCAAATGGATAATTTCATACTCTGTTCCTCCAGTCAGCTAAACTATTTTTTTTTTGGCAAAAAAATGAACAGAACACCCAGAATTGGTGGATCTATCTACTTCAGTAACTAAGCTCAGCTTCTAGAAGTGAGGCATCTTCCCTTATTACCCTGGTATCCCCCCAGCCAATCACAGTTGCTGGTCTATAATGGTCACCAAAGCAGTGCTCATTGCATAGGAGTTAAATATAACAACTCTACAACCTGAACATAAGATTATACTTTAATAATAAAACTAGCAGAATCAATACCTGATGAGGAGATTAGCCATGTGTAGAAGGAGCTATCCCTAAGAGGAGGTGACTCATTGTACCTGAGTAGTCATGAACAATCAAGGTATTGGGTGTATAAGAAATAAAGATATAAGCCAGGTCCATTTTATTGAAACATGGATGGAAAATACTAGTATGTTGTCAGGAACAAGTGGGTCCTCGTGCAGGAAACGGAGAGCCCGAGAACACACAGTTCCCAGTGCTCGTCAGCACTGTGTACAGAGCGAGCTCTCATCTGGCCGGCACCAGCATTCCAGTCCCTAGAGAGGCAGGGTTCTTCAATGGAATAGTGCAGCACAGAGCAGCCGCTCGGTGGGTATCTGCTGAGTGAATGCAGGCTGAAATCTCCCTTAGGAATCTAATGTCTCGATTCCATGCTCACCAGGCACCTTCTGACGTGACTAATTCAGACAACTAGATCCCCCCTGCTTGGAAGGCGTGGCTGACATACTGCCATGCGTATCTCATTCACTAGCAAAGCTAATCCCGCACTGGCTTTGGAGCTGTCGCAAAAATCTTGCGAATATGATTAATGTGAATTAGTAACAAGAACCCTGTGTGTCCAAGTATAATTAGGGTGTTGAGACCTGAAGCCTCAGGGCCAGGCACAGGAGCATGGTGGCACTGCCAAACTGTATTCTCTTGTACTTTATCTGCAAGGCTAGTCCCGTCCCCTGTGACATCACTACACAGCTCCAAGTCCAACACAGCACCTTACCTGTACGTAACACCCTTGTGCCAGACCACTTTCACTAGTTCAGAGTAGGAATATTCTTCTTCATCAGACTGCCCCTGCGAAAGTGAATCACAGAAAGTCCACCTGTGAAGGATAAAATACAAGTTATGGATTCTGGTTGCTCAACAAAATTACCTGGAGAAGTCAACAAAATAGTGTGACTGTAGTAAGATTTATTCCTTGCTTAATTAATTAGATCAAAAAAGTAAAAATATGAAAGTACATTACATTTTAAAATGAGTCTTATTTTCCATGCATTTTCAATAATCTCACTATTGAATCTCAGCAGAATTACCTAAATTAACAATTTTAGCAATCTTTAAAATTCAGGATTTGAACAACCAATATTTACTGATGTTCCTATGGTGGCCAGGCACTGTAAATACACTGGGGATATAACACCCAAAAAAAGCAAACATGGTCACTGATGTTAGACAATAAACACTGACATAAAGAAAGGGGAATTACTGAACACTGTAGGATTGTGTAAGGACCTCATCCTGCCTAGGGCCTTGGGGATAACCGTCCTCAGGAAGGAAGGCTGACTCAGAGTCCTGGACATGAACATGAGTTAGCAGGAGCGCTCCCGGCAGAAGACAGAGCGGGCGCAGTGGCAAATGATAGCTTGGGCAAACTCTCCAGGGCCTGCAAGCGTAGAGTGGTGAGCGAGTGGAGGACTACAGACCTGGGAAGGGACCAGAAAAGGCAAGGCCTGTTAAGCCATGTTTAAGGGTAATAGGTTTCAATCTAAAGCCAGTGGCAAGTTATTGAAAAATTGTTGATTTAGAAGCATCAATCTCTTTTGATGCATACTCATAATACTGGATTTTCCTATCTTAAACAGACTATCATGACATGCCTGAAAACCATTCCCATATTTTATCTGAGGAACAGATACGTACTTAGAGACTACCTGGGATCAGACCCTATTCTCCAAGTACAAGTGTGAGACTTTGCTCAGGTTATTTAACATCTCTGTGGCTCAAGTTCCTCCACAAAACGGGCTGATAAAAGACAGTACTTACCTCATGGGTTACTGTGGGGATGAAACAGCATGCCTAGCACATACTGAGTGCTTGGCGTTAGCTATTATTGTTATTGTTGCACTACTTATGCAAAGTTCCTGTTACAAATCTATCATCATTAGGTTATTCATCTGTTAGTGGAGGTCAAAGGTTTTTACCTAGCCATCCATGCCTACCCCTTTGACAATGGACATATTTACATCAACCGAAGAGAGAGACGGCCTCGGAGGCCAAGTGTGAAAGAAAGAACCCATGATCATAAACTTGTCAGATCTACACTCCAGCAACCATGGTAACAGTGGCAGCAGATGCTCCCCAGGGGTCTGCACAGGTGCCTGGGCCATCCCTTACCACACTTTAGTAATCATCTTTTCAGCAACAGTCTTTTCTAGACTCTAAGCTCCTAGAAAGCAGAGAATGTGTCTCAGTCATCTCTGTAGTCTCTGTGCTTAACGATGTATCTAGTACAGTCGGCCTCCCATAAACATTCATTCCGTGGACACAGAGTTAAGAAACAAGCAACACATTTGCTAGGCAAATTATTTACTATTAGTTTTAAACAAGGTTTGGATGAACCGAATGAACTTTCCTTACGACTGCTATCAGATGACTTAGAAAGACAAATTATCTAGAGGAGGACTGGTTCTGACATTACCTGTGCAGGTGTGGGACAGGACAGCTGAGCAGCAGGGCCCTGGGAAGAACAGAAATCTCTTTTCCTCTTTCCTCTGCAGCAGCAGACGTTAACACTGTACTCTGGGGGGGAGTTACATCAGTTCCAGACATATTGCTGATTTTACTATGAAAGCGAAGTGCTAAAGACAGAGGGTATTTCCATTCCTCCGGACAGGAGGACACAGAGCAGCGCTGCTCTACCCACGCGTGGACACAGCTGTGCTTGGGACCAGGCAAAGGCAGTGTCTCCTCCACCTCAGTTCTGTTCCCACAAGGCTTCTTCTCGGAAGGTCCTTTGGGTTTCACAATCTGACAGTGAAGTTCGTTCTCTTTATTCTTCTGTCTCTGTCCTGGTAAACTTCCATATGCACGGGTTTTGTCTGCTTTTCCTACTTGTTCTTTTGGGGCCTGATTATTTTTTTCTGACAATGCTACAGATGAGCCTGGCTTCTGGCTCACTTTACACAAAAAATGTACCGTAAATTCCTGATGAGATTTGGGCAGACAGAGGTATGCATGACCATCTACAGATGGTACCTTCACGGCGCCACTCTGCGTGCATATCATGCCACCGTCAGTACCAAGACTGGGCCATCTCACTTCTGGGATGTCAATGAGGATACGCTGAGTTGAGGGGAGGGAAAAGAGATGGTCAGTATTTTCTGTTAACAGACCAAATTTTCCATACATCTGGTACCTACATATTGTGTAAGAATGCTCTTAAAGTTTTATGTTTTACTACCTAGACAGAATGAAAAAGAGAGAGCCAGGTGTCAGCCTAATATATGGCTTTCCAGAGAATATTTGATATTGTTAAGATTATCTCTTTAGAGAGATAACACACACACACACACACTGAAAAAAAATGAGAAAAGAAAAAATCATCCTGATTATATCTAGTGTTAGACATATTTTTTTAATGTACAATGAATCAGAGATTATTAGATTTTGAGTCCCTCCCAAAATTCTACTCTCAAAAAGGCTATCGACGTCTATAGCACTATAATGCACTATATTAACTTAAATGGTATGAAACTGGCATAAAAATAATTGGCAGAACCACCCAGAGAATACAGAAACAGACTCAAGATATCTTAAAATGTTACATGTGACAGCATAAGGTTTCAAAACAAGGGGGAGGGGAGAGTTATTTAATAAATGGTACTGAATGATTGAATAGAACTAGGGATATGTTCTCTCAAAGGGTTATGACCTGGACTAAAGTACCTGTCCTAGATACACCAGACCCTAAAATAAATATCAGGTGACATAAAGAGTAACTTGTTAAAATCCTGCATGCCCCACACTGGGGATCGAGCCCACAACCCAGGCATGTGCCCTGATAGGGAATCAAACCATGACCTCCTGGTTCATAGGTTGATGCTCACCCACTGAGCCACGTGGGCTGGGCAAGAGTAACTTTTTAAAAAACTAAATTACTCAAAGGTAAATGGATACTGATCAATAGCAAACAGACTTGTAACAGTAACCGTGCCTGATGCATCTTTTCATGTAAGGTAGAAACAAGAGGCATCACGAAAGTCTTGTAATTAGTTCATCTTGCCAACAGCTATCCATTTCAACTTCTATTTATATAAAACTTGAAATTTACAAAAACCATTGTCGGAAAGCCTCTTAAATTTACAGTGCTATGTCAGTACACTAAAGTTAAGGGCATTATTCATTAATAGTCAAGCTGGTCCATAAGGATGATGGTTCAAAAAGTTCCACCTTTTAGAACTAGACTGTCTGATAATCCAACAAGATACCCATTTTTAATGAATAGTCACTCCAATAGATACAGTGGGAAAACAGCCTTGTAGACCAAGTTCCAGCTTACAGTTTTTCAAGGCTTCTTTGTCATGCGACAATGTAATAGAAAACCACTCCACAGGCAGGCAAGCAAAGTGACGGTAGCAGAAAGTGGTTAATAGACACACAGGCTGGGTTCAAATCCTGACTTTGCCACTAAGAAACTTTCTATGGACAAGTCAGGGAAACTCTGAGACTTAGTTCCTGTCAAAAGGAGCGTATCCAGCCAATATGCCTTTTCTGACTGGTCGGACTCCAATTTTGATCACCAGGGACTCAAGGCATGTGGTGCTAGCAAATATTTTTAATATCACTCCCCGTTCGTGGCACACAGTAAACCCTCGATAAATGACAGTGATTATTATTCCTAAAAGTTCAAAATAGAGTGAAAGCAAAAAGAATAAAATTTGCATACCCATAAGTAATTGCATATCTCTATTACACATTAACAGATAAATATTCATAAGCTACTAAAAATATCCGCATAATCTCTTAATTTTCACACCTCCAAGAATCAAAAAGTCACCAACCTGAAAAGCTCTACATAGAATCTTTGGCTACAAAGAAAAAGACAGGGTAATGAATTATGTAACTTCTGTGTCTCAATCAATATATACAAAACATGGTAACTCTAGTGTGGTGAATGCTAAGTCACTATGCATTCATTCTACAGCAACATGTCTATTCCCAAGTGTCATGAAGAAAAAGGCCAATTATTAAACTACTTATTTCTAATTGCTTGCCCTCAAATCTTACTCACAAAAATTATTTTTTTAAAAACTTACCTTTTTTCTTTCAGGAGGTAGAATGCTTTCAGATAAAAAAGGGCAAGTGGCGAAAGCGTTTCGAAAATCTAGGGCTCTCTGTAGTTGCTCCTACAAAACGATACAAATATAATCTTAAAAAAATGACTGAAAATCCACTACTTAGTATGAAGCAATCCTGCATACTAATTACTTCCATATTCCGCCCACCTCAACAACATTGAACGAGCAACGTTTGCGTCATCTTTACTTACTCGGTAAGTGCTAATAACAAAGTGTGTCCTCTGACGAATTCTTTCTGGTTGTTCTAAAGGATGTGCTGAAACAGGAGGTGCCTTTTCAAATAAAAATTCAGAGCCACAGGGAGAAAGCTGCAGTCTGGAGCCATCAGCGTACTGTACTTGCAGGGAATCGTCTTCATAAAGCACCATTCGCACTTCAGCCACCATCACGATGACGATGGGTAATGTCCTTCCAAGGCAAAGACTGAGGGAAATAGGGAACAGTAGCACCGATAGTTCTCTTAACGTACAAAAGTTCCACCCAAATTAGCTGGTGCGTTTTCTAAGAACATAAGTAAAACATACTGCCATTGCATTTACTTTTGTTGGAGGAAAATTTATCTAACTGGACACACTTAAATGATCTGAAATTAACATTCCTGACGGAGTGCCTTGAGGAACCCCTAAGGCTTTCCTCCAGGGTGGAAACATAACAGAGAGGTAGAAGGCAGTCCACCAAGTTATAACTGCCTGAATAATTTTAGTGGCTTTACTTCTCCTGAGGTTCAATGTCAGAAAATTATATCTTTAGTATCTCATTTCAAATAACAAACAAATTCCACCTTTGCAATAAGAATACAGCAAATCACTTGTAATACATGGAAAGGGCAGGCCAAAAGTAACGAGTAGGTCTAAAAGAAAAGCATACATACCTGGATTCTTGTCCCTAGCCCGGCATTAAAGAAGTATCTTCAGCCCTAGAAAGTTTGGCTCCGTGGAGAGAGCGTGGGCCTGCGGATTGAAGGGTCCCAGGTTCGATTCTGGTCAAGGGCACATGCCCGGGTTATGGGCTCGATCCCCAGTAGGGGGTGTGCAGGAGGAAGCTGATCAATGTTTCTCTCTCATCATTGATATTTCTCTCTCTCCCTCTTCCTTCCTCTCTGAAATCAATAAAAATATTTTTTTTTTTTAAAAAAGAAGTATCTTCATGTCACTACTGAAAATGCTAATTAACCTCCTAGGTCTTAGTTTCATCCTCATCTCACTCATTTCAATTTCCTCTTCTCCACTTCTAAAGTGACTCTGTGTCTTCAGCTATGCTTTCCATATAGGTATGATGGAAATGGAATCAGAGGATGAGTTCCATTCATACCCACCATTTACTAGCTATAAGCTAGGTCCTTTGTTTCCTTATCTGTAAAATGGGAATAGTGACAGTGCTGTGAGGATTAAATGAGACAACACATATGACACTGCCTAGTATTATGAATGTAACTTTGTAGAATCTCAATAAAAGTTGCTCCCAACCACCTCCCAGTCACTTTTTAAAAAATATATGTTTTATTGTGTGTATTTTTTCTACAGAGAGGAAGGGAGAGGGACAGAGAGTCAGAAACACTGATGAGAGAGAAACATCGATCAGCTGCCTCCTGCACACTCCCCACTGGGGATGTGCCTGCAACCAAGGTACATGCCCCTGGCCAGAATCAAACCTGGGACCCTTGAGTCCGCAGGCCGACGCTCTATCCATTGAGCCAAACCGGTTAGGGCTCCCAGTCACTTTTTATCCATGTCATCTTCTTCCTTCATGGCATCTAACCGCTGTCAGAACTGATTTTATTTATTTAGTTATTTTGGTCTTTTCCCACTAGGATATAAACTTACATCAGAACAGAGACTTTGTTTTATTCACAGTTGTGCCCCTGGCATATATACTTGGCAAATAATAAGGGTGGAACAAAGATTTACTGAATGATGAAAGAATAAGTAAATTTTAGAAATCTTGCTTTTCTTGAATGTGCAGTTTGAGTTAATGGTATCTCAATGTTAGCAATATTTGACATCTCACTCTCTTTCCATCCACACTCTTGTAACAAGTCCCGTAGATTTCCTCTCTCTTGAACCTGGCTCCTCCTTTTCTGCTTCAGGCCATCAACTCTCCCCTCATTTCCTGTAACTATCTAGGACCTTTTTCCAGCCTCTTGCCCCTCCAATCCATTTCCAGTATTGCTGTCATAGGTAACTTTCACAACCCAGCCCATACCAACCACTTTACATCACTTGTCTACATACTTGTTAAATGGCAATAAATATTCATAGCCATATATAGGGTGTCCTCCCAACATGTACACAAACACTTCGAATGACTGTAAAGGCTGTGCTTATTAAAATACATTTCAGTTTCAAAAGTGAGCTATCAGCTGTTAAGGTGTGTATACATTTTTTTGGGGGGGCACCCTATATATATATGATGTCTACTTGCTATTTCAGGAAACAAAAAAACAAATAAACAGATGCATATAAAAAAGGAAGAAAACATTTTCCTGGTAACAACTGGGAAAATGTCTCTATTTTGGGCCTAGTTATTTATTTATTTTTTATAAACAGCTTAATCAGGTGTGATTTTTTAAAAAATTAAAAGCATACACAAGAGACAGTAGAATGTCTAAAGTTTCTGGCACATCATAAATCCGCCCCAGTCCACATTTCCAGCCACAACTGTCTTACTGTTTGTTTTCAACACTCAGCACATTATGTCTGTTTAACGATCAAAAAGCCTTCAGTCTGTTCTTGACATCAGAGGGAACCTGGCTTTTCCAAAATGCCGTATCTAGTTGCCATAACAAATTCACCAAAGCAACCAACGTTTGAACTCACGGCAGTTCTGAGCTGAAAAGTCGTGGTAACGAGGCCCATCAACCGCCCTTGCGCTTTGATTTGCCAAGTGGCTGGAACCGCGGCGTCTGCGCCTGCCCACGACGGCTTCTCGAGGAATTGTTCTTAATTTTAACAAGTGAAGCTGCTCGATGGAAACAATCACAAACGCAGGGCCAGGAGGACCCGGGTCTGAGTAGCTGAGCAGGGGAAGCGCCAGCGAAGAGCCCGGAGGAAAACACTGGCAAACAACAGCGATTCAAACCTTCCCGCCCCGCGGGCCGAGCCAGGCCGGAAGTCCCGCCCCTGCCGCGCTCGGAGCAGGGAGAAACCGGAAGTGGGGAAGGCGTTTAGGGGGAGAGGTTCCCGACCCAGAATCTGGTCCTCTCCTCTTCCGGTGCCCGCGAGCTCCCCGCGCGGGGGTGTTGGGCAGTGACGCCTATTTAAGTCATTGAACGACAGTTACCTCTCAGTGACGCTGCTGAGGAAGAACCTGGCCAAAGGCGGAGGCCTTTCCTTCTAAGTTGGTGTCCGGGAATTGGTCTCAGCTGTGTCTCTGCCTTTATCTGAACAGCGAGTAGACCGGTCTGCCCATTTATGTCACTACACGGGTGGTTAGGGTCCCCAGCGACGGGCTGGTGCGAGGCGCGCGGGTTAAGGCGGGACGGAGCCAGTCGAGGGTGGCAACTAGAGTACCGGCAGGAGGCGACCCGACAGTTAACTTGATCAGGTGGTGGTAAGTGTTCCGGAAACAAAACGCGGAGGTCTGACCGCAGATAACGGGTAGACCCAGCCCGGGCGGAGGAAACACTCCCGCTGACATACAGAGGATATTGAAACGCGAACACGGAACGGAAACGCCCTGGGTTCCCGGTTCTTGTCTCGATGGTTTCGAAGCAGGAAGCCACGGGCGGAAGGTGGTCGGTGAAAAGCACAGACGCTTTATTGCAGGCAGACCCTGCCTTCACAATCTCATTCTAAGTTCGGAGCCGGGGACCCCGTCCCCCCTGCACGGACAGAGGCCCCTGGGAAGGTGGCCGCTGCGCTCTGTCTTTGGCATTAAATAGGCTGCAGCTCTTCGTCTGAACCCGACCCCTTCTTACTGGTCATGGTGCTACAGTTAGCTCCCAGCTTAGAGCCCACGTGGTGCCCACCCCCACCCCCTTTTTCCCCCTTCCCCTGTTGGCTGAAGTCCCTTTGATGCATCTCTCAGCTCTCCCAGGTGTTGGAGAGAAGGCCTTCTCTCATGGCCCGCCCAGCGACTCAGGTCAGGGCTACTTTGGGCTTAACTTATGGGCACTTTATCGGCTCAGGCCCGCGATGCCTTTTGGTTTAGGATATATTTCTATTTGCCTATTCCATTTCTCTACTCTCTGTACAAGATACACACCCTGGCGCCTTCAAGTCTCCATTATGTATTCCTTCCCCCACAGGCCCCTTCTTATTCCTAAAACGTTCTAAACCTGCCTAAACTAGCGAGCTAACCCGCTCTGAACTAGCCAGGTGGAGAACAGTGTCCAAGCTGCGGTAACAGCCTGTTAAGGCCCTGAGGCCAGAACACCAGTTTGGTTTAAGGATGTTGAGAGAGAAAAGAGGCCTTCAGGGCAGAGAAGCCTGAAATGCAGCTTCGAGGTAGGCAGGGGCAAGATCAGTAGGAATTTATGGATGATGGACTTGATGTTAAAAGCAACGGCAAACTATTCTAAGGGCTTTGTGCAAAGCTGGCAGCACCAAGGGATGAGAAATCTAACTCCTTAAATTCATCTCCATTTTTCAAAAGACTGATATGCAAACTGACCTCTGCCTTATGTAAAGTATAACAAGGGCAACCTCAGACAATCCTGTTTTCATTGATCTGTGACTTCAGTTTGTATTACATGGGGCTAACTTAAGTCCTATCCCTCTCCCACCTTTTCCCTCTCCGATATCTGAGAAACTCCCATATGTGAATTGCTTACAACGGGGGGGGGGTTTGTGATGCCATTTGTACTTTAGAAATATTCCTGGAACTGCTGAGTGAAGAATGGATTGTAGGATGCAAGAGCATATGTGGGAACCCAATAGGACGCTTTTGAAAAACAAACGAGAGGTGAAAATTCAGACTGGGCAGTGAGAATGGATCACAGCTCCAAGAAATGTTTAGATAAACTATATAATCTTGGTAATGATTGAATGTGAGTGTTTGAGGGGGAGGGTAGGAGTTAAAAACAGTTCCAGGTATTTATGTATTTGTGCTTTTTCCCTGTGAAGCAAGTCATCAGTTAGGGGCGGATCGAGTGGAGAGGGTTGAAAAGAGGAGTGAACAGTAAGATAATGCAGTGCTGATAGCCCCTGACTGAGAGTTTACAGGGGTACAAACCTACCAGAAATATGACCTCCAGCTGTCTGCCTGCAGTCAGTGTAGGGTTCATCCAGGTTTGGCGTCTTGCCAGGCTAATGCGAATGGCAGTAGTGTGCATGACCTTAAATTATTTATATCCGCTAAAGTCAGCCAAAGACCCCTAGGCTCAAGCCTATAGTTTGACAAAATCATATTGACTGACTTGCAAGCAAGGGCTCACTCTAAAGGAGCCATGCATGAGTGGCACTCCACTTCTGGGTGAGGCCTGGGTTCCTGCTGCAGGATGCTGAGGGAACTCTGAGGGAGACCAATTGTGGGCTGGATGCGGTGTCTGCAGCAGGACTAAGAGGAGGTTGGATATTCTCATGAGCGAGGACAGTTAGCAACTGCAGTCCTCAGTAATAGGTGGGCGAGGGTAGCTAATACGCCTGGAGATGTCATTATCAACATAACAGGTCACACAAAGAAAGAAGGGGTCATGACATTTCATAGTTGTTGCATGACCTTGGGAGAGACAGCGTTTCTGCTAACTGCGTCTGCCCTCCCAGCCTGGTTAACAGCAGGGCTTTTCTTTTTTTCTTCAGTTTGAGCCAAATTTCAGTCCTTCCATCCTGGACTTCTAACTTTCATTCCAAGCCAAGCATCCTCCTCTCTTGCTAAATGTGACTATTTTTAAGGAACAAACTACAATTTAACCTATACCTATCTGTCCCCCAGTAAGATTTAATAAAATATCCAATCATAGAATTGTCTCCGCTTTCTGATAACATCTAGAGTAAACCTCATTTCTTAGATCCTCTCCCAAATTATCCAACCAAAGCCCAAACCCTATAATAAGTTATTTCTAACTCCTCTTAGTGACACAACCCACAATTCGCCATGGTGTATATTCTGCCTTACTAACCCAGCAAGTGCAGGAACAGCTGTGTTCCTGGTAGTCTTTGGCTGAAGGGCACTGCAAGCACAGACAGAGGGTCTGAGTTGTTGACATGACCGCCAGGTTCAGACCAATATTTGTACTTTATTGCCAGAAGACTGTGGCATCCACTGGAGACTTGCACAGATAATCCTGACAAAAGACTTACTGACCCATTTTTCTGTAGACACGGCCTAAAGGCCAACAAATGTAGCACAGGACCAAAGTTTCCTTTATGTACTGTTGCAGTGTTAAAACATGGCCTTCCTCGATGGCCTCCTATTTGCTATGGGCTTAGCAACACCTCCAGTCATCAGCCATGTAAGTGAAGAACACCCCGGGGGATTACATCCCTGAGTCCTTAGTTTTCCCAGCCGAAGCCTCAAACATTGTAGAATAGATAAAAGCCATCCCTACTGTGCCCTGTCCAAATTCTGAGCCACAGGACCCATGAGCGTACTAAAATGCTTACTGTGTGAAAACACTAAGTTTGGGTGGTTTTTAAAGCAGCACCAGTAACTGGAACATACACTGACTCTGTTGGAGGCTGTTATTAGTAGAGCAGGGGTAATGACGATGAGCTAGTGGACAAAACTGGATGTTATTCACAGAGCAAATGCTATAAGTTTAAAGCATTCAGTTAGCATATACTTGCCCCCTGGTCTAATGTCCTGCCCCTTCCCCACACCACCTTCCACTGCCCCTGAGCTATACAGCGAGCACAATCTTTAGAGAACTGCAGATTAAGGTAATAGCCACCTTGTTACAGGGGCCATTTGGAAAAAAAAAAAGAGTTCTATTACAATTTCCAAAACCCCCAATTGCATGTACTGGGTGGGGCAAAAATAGGTGCACAGTGGTATGTGAAACAGAGTTCATGCTTGTATTATTTATTAATTATTGTATTATTTTCCATCGGAATAACTGTACACCTACTTTTGCCCCACCCTGTCTATTTCCCTTTTGCAACGAAGAATCTAAAATTTTCAATGTTTTACATTTGCTAGTTTTTCCAACTAGACTTGTTAGTGAACTGAATTCTTACTAAAAAGACATTGAATAGAGTATCTTCTATCCTAGTAGTTTCTCTGATTTCAAATCATAATTTTATGTCATATAAAAAAGTTCACAACAGATTCTTTACAATACCAGGATACCACTCCAAAAACTTAGAGGAAACAAAACTATTTCAATTTTATTTTCAAAGACTAATTTTAATCCAGACTGAACAAACAAGCAGAAAAGTGGGAAAGCTAACTGTAGTAGCAGACACAGGTGTACCAAATGTGAAACAGTGGGTTATTAACAGAACTATTTACATGCATATTTACAAGCAATCCTTTTGTACATAAGCTTTACTTGTCGTTAGTTGGAAAAAGATTTTTGACATTTGGTAAAAATAGGACTGAGGTGATACCACATTATAGTAAAAGTATTAGAAAAGTGATCCTCGAGGTGTATCAATTACAAAGCAGATGAAAACTTGAGTGACAAAGATCTAGCAAAATTCTCTAGTAAAAAAGTCAATGCAACGCATGCTACCAAATAAAAATGAGAAAGCCATATAAAGAAAGTAGAATAATGTCCTGGGCTGTGGGGTAATGAAATCAGATGAAAAATTTGAATAATTTAGAATTGCAATGTTATCCTCAGTGAAGACTCTTGGTTGTTTAGTTGGAAGTTCTAACTCTATTTTAAAAGCCCTTGGTATCAAATAACATCTGGATATGTAAATAAATTAATTATATATTCTAAGACTTTAGTGCCAGAGATTTTTATGATTGTGATTCATACTTGAAACCCAATTCATTGAGACACTCAATGTAAAACTAAATGAAAGCTATATACTCATCTCTTAAAAAAGGATGCTACATTTTTGCAGTAATATGTATTTCCACACTAAGACATTTTCCTTCGAGAAAAGCTGAATTTAAAGGATAAGCTTCTAATCAGCTAGCAAAACTTACTTTCAACATTTCATTTATTTCAAAATCGATTTTATTGCAGCCAAAACAGTGGAATTAACTGTACATAATAAACTATCTTATATATATACACATTTTAAGTTATAGGGGATAAAGTTTATTTTGGCAGAGTGTTAAACAAAATTAAAGTTGCATACATTAGTAACATAACTCAACATCCTTAATTTGGTATAAGTGTGACACATTTTCCTGCTTTCCTGTGTTCTGCTAAGTCACCATAACCTAAACTGCTTTATAAAACTGATACGTTGAAATTTGACTTTACTGTTTTTGCTTACGCTCTGATTCCAAACAAAACTTTTCATAAGCTTCTTCTATCTCTGGGTCCATTTCATCATCAATATCATCCAAGTATCTGTGAAAGAAGCAAAGATGACTCATAAGCTTAATGTTTTTCCATGCAGAAAATGTGTAGGCCTGACTGGTATGGCTCAATGGTTGAGCACTGACCTACGAACCGGAGGTCATGGTTTGATTCCCTGTCAGGACACATGCCCGGGTTGCCGGCTCAATCCCCAGAGCAGGGGGCATGCAGGAGGCAGCGATCAATGATTCTCTCTTATCATTGATGTTTCCCTCTGTGTCCCTCTCCCTTCCTCTCTGAAATCAAAAAGGAAAAAAAAAAGGAAATGTCTAAGATGCTAAGTCATGAGGAAAGGTATCTGGTGTAACTTTCCTCGACTGAGTTATAGAACACAAGCACTGTTTAGAATTACATTAAATGTCAGTCCTCAGACAACAAAAGCTTAGTATGGTGTGTTAAGTTTTACAGTGGATTCGGAGTCCCTTGTCTTTGAAGTTAAGATTCTGCTATACTTTAGACATATGTTAAATTCTTTAACCTAATCTAAAAATTAAATCAAAGGCTTTACCTTTTAGCTTAGCAACAATTATACTATAACTAGGGGTCCGGTAGGGGACCCCCATCTCCCCCCCATCACTGGCTCCACCCTTGCCCAGGCATGACACCTTTGCCAGAGGCATTGACCCCCATCATCCTCCGATTGCCGGCTCTGCCCCCCGCCCAGGCCTGACGCCTCCGCCAGAGGTTTCTGGGGCTTCTGGGGCCAGCCTGTGGCCCAGATCAGATCCAATCACAGGCTACAGGCAGGCGGCTTCTGGGGTTGCACGCGGGGGGCCTGGATGGCGGCTTGCGCTGTCCCGCCCTGCCTGCAGTATGCAAATTAGCTGCCATCTTTGTTGGCGGTTAATTTGCATATTGCGCTGATTAGCCAATGTGAGGTATAGCGAAGGTACGGTCAATTACCATGTTTGTCTATTATTAGATAGGACTAGAACATAATTTCAATGTACCATCCCCCTCTAATGATGCTTAACATCAGAAATGGTATTCTGACAATGTCAACTTAGTCATAACCTATTTGGAATCAGACTTTCATAGCAAGAAGCTACTTTAGAGATCATCTATTTCAGATTTTTTCTAACTATGCAGTAGTTTAAAATGATGGAAACAATGTTTTCCTATTTAAGTGCCCACGAAGGCCTTAATACACACATCCTTACTGAATTCTCACAACCATCTTAAGACAGGCACTATCACCTGCAGCCAAGAACAACTTGAACTTCTAGTGGCACACCCAGCAGGGGTGACCTTTCCTAAGTGTGCGTAGGTCCTTACAGATTTAACTTACTCTTCCCATCACTGAGGAAGAAGAGGACCCAAGCAGCCTGTCCAAATTCCTATAAGCTGTTAACAGAGCTGGGGCTAATCCTCACAGGTTTTTCATCCTTCTATAACAAAATGTAGTTAAATCTGATGGAAAGTGATAAGAAATTTGTATTATCAAGAATGATAGGTAAATGAAATATGAGAATAAGACCATAACTTACAAATTCCCATCAGTAGCAATATTTTTATATAGTAATTTCCTCTCTTCAATCTTAAGTCATCCTTTGAACAGCTAAGATTTGAGCTGTTTGTTCTGTGCCAGAGCATTTATATATTCTCATTTATGTCTCAAAAATTTCAAGGACAGGTACTATTCCTAGTTTGTAGATGGAGAAACTGGCGTAGAACCTGCTTATTTTAAAGTCTTAGGTATAAAAATAGAATCTATTTTATAAAAATGAATTATGCTTGTGTATACATTTTAATAGTTTTTCCCCTCAACTATAGATACATTTAAAAAATCATAGTTTTGTATTTTTTTAAATCATGGTTTGTGTGTTTTCCAACATGATTATGTGAAAATTTTTGGTAAATAAGAACTACTTACATACCACTATAATACCATCTAATCAAAATGCATATTCTTTCATTATCTGCTTTTTTCCAGCCTAAACTCTATCTACAAGCTGTGGCCACAGAAAGTTCACAAATAAAGTTAGTAGCTAAAGAGAACTTACGGATCACCAGCGCCTGATAAATCTGTTCCATTTTCTTCATAATCTGGAAAAAAGTCTTCTCTTTCAAGTAACTCTTGATATTTCTCTTGGTAATCTAAGAAAAATGAAATAATGAAAAAATTTAAATGCTGGAAAAATTCACAAGAAATATTAGCCAGTTTTTCCTAAGAAATTTTAATATTATGACTTTTCATTTAAGTATATCCAAAGTTTAAACATCAGTAAGCTGTGTATATTCATCTAGTACAGTGGTTGGCAAACTGCAGCTCGCGAGCCATATGCGGCTCTTTGGCCCCTTGAATGTGGCTCTTCCACAAAATACCATGTACAGGCGTGCATGTACAGTGCGATTAGAACTTCGTGGCCCATGTGCAGAAGTTGGTTTTCGGAAAGGAGACAGACGAAACAAGTATACAAGATGAGTGTGGATGGGAGAGTTGGAAGGGGTCGACCTCAGCGAACGTACCTCAATCAAGTTGAGGACGTTTTTAGCAAAGGCCAGCTTAGGAGTACCCTAATTAAGTTAATAACAATGTACCTACCTATATAGTTTAAGTTTAAAAAATTTGGCTCTCAAAAGAAATTTCAATCATTGTACTGTTGATATTTGGCTGTTGACAAATGAGTTTGCCAACCACTGATCTAGTAAGTGAGCTTAATTACATATTTAAGAATAGCTTTTACAAAACCTATCCTAATTGGCTTGCTTCTGCCCCCTGCATCCTCATGACTCTAAATTATATACATATTCCTCTAAATTATATACATATTCCTCTAAATGTAAGTTGGAAATCAAAGCCACTGTGCATATACCAGAGGACATTTCACAGGCTATGTGTATGCTGTCTACATTCTCTCCTGCTTCTTTCCATCAGGCAAAATACTGGCTATATAGTTTGTGGGGAAGAACACGTGTTCTCCATTCTCTCCTATTTTCCTTCCACAAGGAGAGATTTCAATCAAACGCCCTGGCTTCTGGGCTCTGTTATCCTCCCCAAGGGGGTAAAGTGATCTATCTATCTGGCTGGCAGGTAATGGCCACTTTTCCATGTTCCTCAGGCAGTGGAGGCCACCCTAACGCGGCTCCGAGCATTTTCTTTCCTTCCCTGTCCTAGAGACAGCTGGGAGGTAGCTACCTAATAAATGTTTCAGCGCTACCACCTTTCCCTCAGTGGGCTCTTCCTAGGCAATACGGGTGACAGGATAGCTCTCCGTCTGCCAACTGCCTGAAGCACAGTGACTGCGTGTCTTATAAGATTAGCATGTCTGTGTCGAGTCTTTACCTTTGAATAACAAAATGGATCAATGTATAAAAACTAGTTACCGCCAGCACCGGTTTGGCTCAGTGGATAGAGCGTTGGCCTGCAGACTCAAAGGTCCCAGGTTCAATTCCAGTCAAGGGCATGTACCTTGGTTGTGGGCACATCCTCAGTGGGGGGTGTGCAGGAGGCAGCTGATCGATGTTTCTCTCTCATCGATGTTTCTAACTGTCTATTTCTCTCCCTTCCTCTCTAAAAAATCAATAAAATATATATTTTAAAAATTCTTTATTGTTTAAAGTATTACATACCCCCCCCCCCGCCAATGACCTCTCCCTGGTCCCAAACTTAGTTTAATCTTGACTGTGAATCAACAAGTCAGTTCTTTGTGGTTTTCATATTCTTTTTAATGTTTCCTAATTTAAAGCTGGAAGTTAAGTAGCCATTTCTCCTTCCTACATTCCTTGCTACAGGCAGGGATAATCGGAGCCTGATACCCAACGGGACAAATGGGGAAATGCTGACCATCAGCTGGTTGTAGTTTGTACTAAATGGGAAATTTCTCTCTTGCTCACACTGCAGTCTCATTTATCACAAGCAATGCTTCTACAAATGCCATTTCCTGGAAGGGGAAGCATGCAGAGGTTTAGATTTTTAATAAACTTTGACCCACCAAGTATTAATAAAATCCGTAATTCTTAGTATCTGCAAGTATTGACCCATATTAATAAAAGCTGCTGACTACATAGTGAATTAGAACCATCTTTTCCTTCCATTCTAATCACCTAAGTTCAGAGTATGAAAACAAAGTATGAGAGGAAATACAAAATAAAAATGATGGCATTTAATTGAGGGATTCTCTGGACCCTTCATTGTTAGGGTGATTAGACACATTCCACTTGAAATGGCTTCTAGTGGTTACTGTAAAGAACACCGCATATGAGACAAGCCTTCACCTTCCTTTTCAGAATGATATGAACTCTTTGAAAAGCTACAGTTCTGTGCTGGTGAAAGGATGATTTTCTGTAATTTCCTATCTTACCAAAAACTAGGGGCTGGGGGGGTGGGGAGGGAACCATGAGACAAGATACCTGGATCAGCTGCAGTGAAAGGAACACCATCAGATGTATAAAATGTTGGTTCATTCTAGGATGAAACAAAGGGACAAAAACATGTCATCGTCTCACAATTGATTTTTTAGGAGCACATTATCAATGAAGCATGGCTGATGCCACCCAGCTGCACCTCATAATGCAATGTAAGAACCAGCAAACACGAGCTTCCCGGCTGCTACTGCCATTTCATTGGGAACATCTCTGCTCTTCAGATTCATTCTATTATCTCGAGTTCTTGTTCTAGCACTGTGTCTACGGTCTGTTACTCACAGTGAACTGTTCTGCGGTGCAGGGTGACTCAGCATCCACTCAGATTGTTTTGGTTTCCCCTTCCCACCATTTTTCTGAGATGGGGGTTGTAGGAGCAACCTATATATAAAACCCTAATATGCAAACAGACCGAATGGCTGAACAGCCGAACAACCAGTCGCTACGATGTCCACCAGGGGGTGAGCGCGGAACATGGCGGGCATCAGCAGCAGGTGGCAGAGTGTGAAACGTGGCGGTGTCACCCACGGCAGGATGGTGGAGCAGGTGAACTGGGGCACCAGACCAAGGTGGGGCACTGGCTGCTGTCATCAGGGCGAGCCTCTGGTGATTATTGAAAATTCTTTGCTCCCACACGCTGTGATCCCACCTGGCACTCGCACCTGCTGCTGGCACTGGCCCTGCCTGCACCTGTTGCCAGTGTCCAGCGCCAGTCCCAATCACTTGGTGCCGTCAGCAAGTGCAAGCAGCGGCTGCCAGCCCTGATTGCCCCTAAGGGCCTCTCCATCTCCCCCTGCTCCTGAGGGGTGATCAGGGCAGCAGCCGCCACTTGCACCCGCTGACAGCGCTGGCCCCAATCGCTCCGCGCCATCAGCACGTGGGAATGGCGGTGGGAGTGGGGCTGCCAGCAGACAGGGGACTGGGGGCCATGACAGGAGGGGCCGGGAGGTGCAGAGGATGGGCTGAGAATTGCCCCTGTGCCCACCATGGCCCAAAGTTCCAGGTTCCCAAATTCATGCACTGGGCCCCTAGTCCTATATAATAAATGCCTAATATGCTAAGTGTCCCACCATTCGACCAGTCGCTATGATGCGCACTGACCACCAGGAGGCAGACGCTCCAACTCTGGTAGGTTAGCTTGCTGCTGGGGTCCGGCCGATCGGGACTGGGCAAGGGCCGGACATGCCCTGGAGCCCTCCTGTGGTCCCTCCCCAGTCCCGATCGTGCACCAGGGGGTCCTTGGCCTGGCCTGTACCCTCTTGCAAACCAGAACCCCTTGGGGAATGTTGGAGAGCCAGTTTCGGCCTGACCCCCGCAGGCCAGGCCAAAGGAACCCACCACACGGATCTGTGCACCTGGCTTCTAGTTCCTCCCTAACTGCTGTGTTTGGTCGTGTTGGGAGCTTCCGGGATCACTGGCCTGGTAATCATTTTTATTTTCTTAGTTTCCTTTATGATAACATACAAAGTAACAGTTTGAGCTGCAGGCCTTGGTTATGAATTCCCTGGGAAACAGTTTCCTGGAATCCCTACACTCACTTAAGTCCAAGTCTCATCATTTCCCTGGCCATTGGGTGGCTCTTTCTCTAGTCCATCCGCCATGGGAGGAACCCATGTCTCTTCTATTTACCTGCTCTGCTTGCTGCCAGGGACTGTAAGCCAGTGAAGAGTTATTAGGCATTAAATTCTGGGAATGGCTTTATGTAACTCGTAGAAATTTCCAAAGTTGAATTCAAGCAATAAGCAACATTTAAACAGCAAACACTGGCATACCATAAAATAGTTGGGGTCATTTTCAGGTGTTGCTTCTCTGTATGTTGAGGTTACATGGACTCTACCCCAGTTACTTGACCGGAGCTCTACAAGCTTCAAGAGCATCTGCTTCACGTCTCTGCAGACAGAAGTGGAAAAGGATGAGTGAGTATCCACCCTGTGTGTTGTCAGGCTCTAAAACACCAGACTCCTACCACCACTTCACCAATTTAACATGTACAGTCAATGCTTTAATTTTCCACACCTCTCCTATAATGACACAAATTCACCCTTAAAAAAAATAGCCTTGAAATTTGTTCCATGTAAGTAACATATGGTTCCTAAATGCAGTGGCCATCCTGCAAGCATATCTATGCTTCAGAGTAGTACACCTAGGCATTTACTGAATAACTGAGGAAAAATGGCTAAGTGAGCAGAAGCCACAGGTAAAATACTATGCCTTTAATAAAAGGTTTCTCTGTATTTTTATTGATTTCAGAGAGGAAGAGGGAGAGAAACATCAATGATGAAAAAGATTTATTGATCAGCTGCCTCCTACACGTCCCCTACTATGGATTGAGACTGCAACCTGGCACATGCCCTTGACCGGAATCGAACCTGGGACCCTTCAGTCTGCAGGCTGACACTCTATCCACTGAGCCAAACCAGCTAGGGCCACCCAAAGCATTCTTTAAACAAAAGTTAAATATTCCTAGTTGTTCTCTACCATCTAATACTCAGGTATCTCAATACCTTCTTGACTGAAAGAAACCAATGAACTATAGCAGATCTTTAACCAAAGGTTTTATGTGTTAACTAGAGGCCCGGTGCATGAATTCATGCACAGGTGGGGTCCTGCCAGCCTGCCCCAATCGAGGCCGGCTGGCCCCGCCACTGGTTGAATTCCCAGTTGAACTCCTGGGGGACAATTTGCATATTAGCCTTTTATTATATAGGATGACTATGGCTTACTCCCTGTATGACTAAGGTAGGTTGTACAATTTTAATCAATATGTCACTTTTTGAAACATGCAGGGTGCAATAAGTATTGAAGCAACGAATTAAAACAAACACTTCATCGGGAAAAAAATGAGTTAAGGATGTCACAGGTAGTTCACAGAAGCTAAATCATGTCTAATAAAAAAATGCTTAACTTCACTAGTGATCAGGAAAATGCAAACTGAAATGAGGTTTTCCTTTTTACATCATCTGACAAAACCAACCCCAGGATTGCTTGCATCTATCACTGATAAGGATACAGATGGGAAGAGGGGTGGGAATACACTGTGGTTACGTGTTTGGAAGAGAAATTTGGCATGATAGAAGGTCCCCACCTTATGACGGTTAGACTTATAATATTTTTTTTTAAATCCTCACCTGAAGATATGTTTTCTTTCTTTCCTTTTTACTGATTTTTGAGAGAGAGAGGAAGGGAGAGGGAGAAACATCGATCAGTTGCTGCCGGTAGGCACCCCAACCGGGGATTCTAGGTTGAATACTCGACCTTTAGGTATATAGGACAGTGGTCCAACCAACTTAGCTACATTGGTCAGAGATAGAGTTATATATTTTTTAAGTATATGTTTACTGATTTCAGAGAGGAAAGGAGAGGGAGAGACAGAAACGATGAGAGAGAATCACTGATTGGCTGCCTCCTGCATGCCACGCCCATGCTTGGAATTGAGCCCGCAACCCGGGCCTGTGCCCTAACTGGGAATCGAACTGTGACTTCCTGGTTCACAGGTCAACACTCAACCACTGAGCCATGCCAGCGGGACTAGACTTATAACTTTTTTTTAACTTTTCAGTGGTTCAGAGGCAATAAGCATTCAGTAGAAACTAAAACTGCTTTGAATTTTTTATCTTCCCCCAGGCTGATGACTGTGGTACGATCCTCTCTCAGGATGCTGGACAATGGCTATGAACTGCAGCTCCCAGCAGGTATGTAATCAGGAGAGCAAACAACCGATACTCAACTGTGTTTTCATGTGGTGGATGATTCTGCCCAACTGCAGCCTAATGGAAGTGTTCTGAGCAAGTCTGAGATAGGCTTGGCTAAGCTCTGTGGTTTGGTAGCTTAGGTGTATTAAATGTATATTCAACTTACAATATTTTCAGTTTACAGTGGGTTTAGGGAGACATAACCCCATCCTAAATCAAGGAGCATCTGTACTTATCAAATTAGGGTATACATGCTCTCTGGTCCACCAAACCTATGTGCAGGCATTTAACCTATATAAAGACGATGAACGATTATCAACAATGCTGCCGAGGCTAAATTAAAAGTAATCCACTATTCGGCAACAATGGGTAAACAATGTGCATGTAAACACCGGAACACTGGGAAGCTACTGCAGAAAGAAGTCAATTTGTGTGCCACGCAAAGATCTAAGATCTTCCGTAGGTGGTAAAGCAGCAGAGTCAGATGGTACTTATGAGATACACCTACAGACGTGGGGAAGGAAGGGGCACCGCGAAGGACTCCCATTTTTCACTCTAAAATCCACTTCTTACAGTAAATAAGCATGTATTGCTTTTCTAATATATTTAAATTCCAGAGCAAAATAAAATGTCAATATTTAACTTAACGTAATAACTATGTTGAATTCATTTGTGTATCATATATCTACTTTCCTTTCTCCAAATTATATGCTAGATGGGTAGAACAGTTAGTTACACTTTAAGGAAAGAAAATAAGTAAAACCTACCTTTAGTAATTTTACTGCGCAAATTAGGTTATCATCCACAGGGTTAGAAAAGAGGGCATTCAGCAACTCCCGAAGACCAGCCTGAAGAATATCTGCTCTTGTAACCTGCCCATTTGTTCCTTTGATCTTTGGGGATAAAAGAAAATGAACAGCAACTATGCCAAAACATGATACAGATAGATAAATGATCTAACAAAGTGTTGGCAAAATAAGCACTTTAAAACGATACAAAAATCATAGGGACACACTCTGATACCTTCACAAAATTAGACTTACCTTACATATAACTAAAATTTCTAATAGAACTAGTCAACTATAGGTCAAACTTCATTTATCACATGTAATGTGTGGTCTGGATCACGTAAGCCTCCTTGAATGTTACTGCTTCATGAAGCATCTCTAGTCTACTAAGCTACCTCCCCCCTTTTGGGGAACACACAGCATTTTACTCTGCGGTTCATATACTGTTTACAAATACTCTGGTTTTGCATGAGAATGGCCTACGTGTCTTGGCTCTCTGGCTGGAAGAACTTCAGGCTCGAGAGCCATGCCTGGTCTTCCCCCTCCCCCACACAGCACCATAACATCCAAGGAGAAATGCAGAGCATCTTAAACGGCTCTCCGTCCAAGGCACGTTTGCACTGGTGCTCTTATTGTGGCTCATAACAATAGAAAAGATTAAGACATGAAAGTTTTATAAAACTGAGCCTCCGTGATAAAAAGGAACAGTCAAGTGGGCACTGGATTGGATGAAGACTTGTAGATGCCCTGATGTACATCTGATGGTGGATTCTTGTCTTTTCAGTGGTGTTTATGGTGCTAAGTCCCCAATTCAGGCTTAAATAGATAAACCTGAATCTGAGACTAACTAGTCAGGATTAACTTGTCAAAGAACAAACTGAATATCCTTTACAAAGTACTATCTCGACTTAAATTGCCTACTAACCAGCATATGCTCACATACCACCAATTTACAAATAAGGTTAGCTGTACCCTTTGTACAAATGCATTTTATGTGGAAGATTAACATATAAAACAGGACCAAGACCTAATCTGGGTGAATTGGGTATAACAACCAAACTCTAGTCTCTCCCCTCTTCACTCAAAGATTTATGTCCCGTAGGTCAAGTTGTTTTTCAGTCACCATCTGAATGTCAACATGTTACGTGTACTAATGTCCCTGAGGCAAGAATCCAAAGAAGTATGCATGTCTACATTTTAACCGCTTAAACGCCCGTGGAGCACATGAAGACTTTCCAATGCTCAGAACTACTCAGCACCTTGCCCTGGAACAGGAAGACAGGCACTGAGTCGTCATTTTCTCTCCCATTTCACTCTTTATGTTGTAAAAGTAATGTAAACACAAATTCCTTATTGAGATCAATTTGTTCGCAAGCTTTACTTAACAAAAGTACTTAACAAAAGTACTTAACAAAAGAAAATGACTCCTCACCTCCAGCTTAAGATAAAGTTCTCCCAGAAAGAGCACGAAGGCATGGAATCGTTTCCGAGTTGCTTCATCCCCCTTTGCAGCTTGATCTCTAAGTTCATATTCAGTCTGACATCTAATAGAGATAAACCTTTTATAATCTCACATTGTTTTGTTTTTTAAACAGTCAAACAAGATGACCATTTGTTGGTCTGGTTGTTCACAAGCGATACAGAGGCAAGTGCAATGCACCACGGCCCTGACTTTCTATAATAAAAATGTTCCTGACTAGTGTAGAGAGCAGACTACACATCATCTTCTCTTACCGAGATGCCTGGTTTTAAGAACTGATAGGAATAGTTGAAAATAAACCTGTGAGATCAAGTGGTAGTTAAGTTTAAACAACAAAGGTTTTATGAGGTTCACATAAAGTGGCACTTGTTTTACCCAACCTGTCTCTGTAAAATGTTCTCTTTCTAATACATGAACTTTGAAACAGATCTTTAAAAATACATAAATATGGCCTCCACCTACACTGAAAATAAAATGAATTCTTATTAAGCCCATTATCCTTGTAATTTTCAGTACAGAGATCAGAGAAAAGGGGAAGTCCCCAATTGAACAGACACATAGAAAGCAATTGATTTGGTCTCTATTCCTAATAGAGACTGAAGGAGTCAAATAACTTACTTCCCCCTGAATTGGCCCATTTGCCTTACATAAGTAAAAAAAGAAAGCTTCATGGACATAGTTCCCACAAGGGTTCTAAAGCCATCACAGCGAGCCTGCTGCTGCCTGTCAGTGAATTAGAGAGTCAGCTACTGCTAACGCAGATTTTTAAATGGACTTGTAACTGTTACCATGTTGGTGGTCAGTATTTTTCCTTATCTCTATTAGGAAGGTGGTGATAAGGTAGGACAGTTGTGTTTTCATAAAGTTAATCTTGGCAGTTCTTTTAAAGACCAAGGGAGGAACTCATGGAGACTAAATGGCTTTCATTAATAAAGGACCAGTTTAGGTTGCTTTGTAAAGCGCTTTTTTTGGAAGAAAAAAGTCACTTCTTGACGAAGGATTTATCTTTATGAATCAACCATAAACACACCCACGACAGCTCTAGCTGGTTTGGCTCAGTGGATAGAGCGTCAGCCTGCAGACTGAAGGGTCCTGGGTTTGATTCCAGTCAAGAGCACATGCCGGGGTTTCGGGCTTGACCTCCAGTAGGGGGCAGCATGCAGGAGGCAGTCGATCAATGATTCTCTCTCATCATTATTCATGTTGCTCGCTCTCTCTCTCTCTCTCTCCCCCTTTCTCTCTGAATTCAATAAAAATATATTTAAAACT